GCTGGGCAGGACTTCTGTCAGAGGATAGGAAAGTGGCAGACAGCATTTCCTGCAGAGACCTGAGTTCCAGTGAAGAGGTGTCACAGACTCTTAGCGATGGAAGACGGAAGGGACCACTGAAATCATCTACTCTGAACTCCTAATTTTAGTGGCTCCGCAAAAATAAAGTAACTTGCCAAAGGTCACCCAGCAAGATTGAGAAGCGTTGCTCATGAGGAAATTGTTCTTGGAGAATCGCAAAGCACAGTGGCACAGGAAAGAGACTCAGGTCCCACCATCAGTAAATAAGTTTAACTCTGGCTGGTCAAGTGTACCCCTAACCTGCTAAACCACAGAGTATTGATTTCTCCACGTATTGAGGAATTAGTATTCTTCAGAATACACTTTAACAAAACCTGGCTGATGCGATAAAGACCAGCACTATCTTGAGTCGTTTAGAGGCTTAGGTGGTGTATTTACACTCAAGGATGCTTCTAGAATAACTGGAACTATTCCTGAAATGGTTTCATGGGACTCGTCGAGGACGACCCACTGTGTCTCACGTTCTTTGCAGGTGGTGGCAGGGGACATGGGACAATCACATTGGGTGGCCTCTGCCGATCTCCCCTCCACAGGGAGCAAACAGCCCTTACTGTGGCACATTCGGTGGCTGCTGCCTCCAGAGGTGGAGGGGAAGCTTGGAGAAAACCTTCCAGGGAAGATGAGGTGAAGCAGAGTCACCAGAGTTAGCACGCACCAGTCTGAAAGGAGCTGACTGGTCCCCCACGCGTGGCGGGCGCGGACTGGGTGGCAAGACCACGTTTTCTGCAATATTTAAAGCGCTTCGGAGGGAAGATAACAGAACCAGGCAATGGCGGGTCGTTGAAAAGCGGAGTGAGTGATTTCAGCCTGGTGCCTCAGTGTTCCAATTGCTTCTTCCCTTTCCTGACATCTCCTCTCTCCCCCTGTGGAAGGTGGGCGTGAGTGAACCAACGGGACACTCACGTTTGCTCTGTCAACACTGGGATCCCAGAAACAAGGTTGGTGACCCAGTGAGTGAACTCCCTCATAAGGTGAGGGGCGTCCTCCTCCCACAGGTGGCATTTCAGCCCCATGACAGCTTGCAGCAGACCGATGGGGAGGCTGCACGTGGGTTATAGTGCATCATCAGGGAAGGGCCTGCCTCACCCACGTGTGACAGTTGGGAGGTTGGGAAGATAACGTGAACGAGGTGAGGCGGCAGGCGGCAGATCCCTTCCCTGCCGTGGGCTCAAAGGCGGAGAGCTAGGCTGGCAAGGAGGTGAAATGGAGCAGCTGCCCACATTTCCAGGAGGGAGGGTCTGGGCACCTTCACCTCTCGGTACGCTGACCACAGGAGACATGTGGCACAATGCTCAGGCCCCCAGGTGACAGCAAAGGGAAGGAAGAGAAAGAGTTCAGAAAGGAGAAGGCTGCGGCACAGAGGTCTGAAGCCCCACCGACACCTGAGCCCTTCCCAACACGCAGTTCACAGGTGAAGCAGGAAGGAGCGGACGAGCGATCAGCCAGCCGCCTCCCGCCAGCACGAGAGGCGCAGCACGGTGGGGTGGAGGAGCTCAGTCGTGGTCTGGGTACATGAGAGACGACAAGTCTTGTCATAAGTTTACAGAGATGGCTGTCAGCTTAAATTCCTATTTGTGAATCTTATTTCAAGTTAGCTCATTGCAGACTCCATTTAATCCACAGGGCCTGTGGTAACAAGAGAATTTATTCTAAAGCAAAATAAACAAAACATTTGATTATTCTGGACTAAATTAAGTGGAAATGTGCATTTTTCTCCTGCTTTCTGGTTGTTATAATAGGATAGTATGCAACCATAAGGACAGAATTGAAATCAGAGTTTTTCTCAAAAGCGTTACTCGGTGTGTCAGGATCGACCGGAAGACCTTTCCAGGCGCACGTGCTCCCCCGTCCGAGCCGGAGGCCTTGGGTGGGCGCTGACAGTGCCCTGCGGTAAAGCCACGTTTAGGGAGTTCATCTCCAGCTTAGGTTCAAAGGAAAGACCCGGGATTTGGGGCCACCTTGGGGTAGTTTTACGACGTGGGGCAATTTGTGGTCCTTTGGAAGCCTCAGTTCCCTTGTCTGGAAAATGGGGACAACAAGACCTGCACTGGAAGGGTGTGCACCAGTGTGTTTGAAGACGTCGGGCAGGGCCTGGCACGCAGCACGGGGCTCAGTGACTGTAGATTCCTCCTGCTCCTGAGTTAAGAATCGTAAACTCACGCTCAGAACGGTGGCTGAACTCTGTGGATCCTCAGGCATTGAAGAGAGACTCATGCTGAGGCAGAAAAGTATGCTGTTGTATTTTACAAGGAATCTCGGCCTCCAGAGTGCAAACCAAAAGCATCTTTAGGTTAAGTCTCAGCTAACTAGACAGAAAAACCCAGTGGACCAGCTCTTCTCCAGAATCCTGACTGGCTGAGACATTTTTGTAGATCCTCACAGGGAAAAATTTGGCTCCGAAGAGGCAAAGGTCTACGAATAAAACAGAGTTCTCCAGATTCCCCTTTCCAAGAGGAGAGCGTGCCCTGCTTGGTAGAAAGCTCAGCATTTTATGGGTTGAACTGTCAAAGCAAAGAAATTTCTGGATGGGAAGGGTGGGTGGGGAAGGGTCTTCACTCAAAAGAAAAATTCAGCCCTTCGTATGTTTCCACTGCAGCCTCCGGGGGAACTCAGAATGGACGTTTGGTTTACAGACCTCAAGCAGCACAGTGGACGGGGCTCAGAACCTGACAGTCTACTGAGAAGAAACACCAGTCAAAGGGGAGCCTTTCCCGGCCTCGTCTCCTCTTAGCCTCCGCGCAGCTCGTCTCTCGCCGGGTCCCTGGACTCTCGCTGGAGCCGTGTCAGGCGAATCCCACAGATCCTCTTCCATCTCAACGCTCTACGGGGCCTGTCCCTTCAGTGAGATGCTCCCACTTCTGTCTGGAGAATTTCCATTTGGACTCAGCTCCGATCCCTCTCTTAAAGTGTTCTCTGATAGTCCCCAGACAGGGTTTTTGGCTTCTTTTTGGCATCCTGGGCAGACCCTTATCATTCCAGTTACCGCACTGAGCTGCAATTTTCTGTTCTCTCATCTATATACTCCTCTAGAAGGTACCTGGCATAGCATAATCGGCCAATAAATACTTACAAAATTCATTACTCTCCAAATACTTAGTAAGCATCCACTATGTGCCAGGCACTTTCTAGACACAGGGGACGTGGCTGTGAAGGACACTGTGCTCCTGACTTCTGTTCCAGCAAGGATGGGCGGACACTAGATAAATGGTGAGACACACAAGAGAGAACAATAAAATTGGCGAGCAGGAAAGGAAGCGGTTCTGTGCATGTGCTGGGGCAGCCAGGGACGGCCCCGTTGATGGCATCTGAGCAGAGACCTCAGGAGGAAGGGAGCAGACTCTGGAGATCTGGAGGAAAAGCATTCCAGGCAGAGGGAAAAGCAAGCCTGGAGGCTCTGAGGACGCGCGCTGTGCTGACGGTGCAGCAGAGGAAAGCTGGTGTGGCAGCGCAGTGGGCAAGAAACACAGGAGGACACGGGTCCCTCAGGGGGGTGCAACAGGGCCCCTGGCTCCGTGCGCCAGCCTCGATCCTTTCCACGCGTCCCGCACACGGCTGCCAGGGTGGTGGTTTGCAACGTGGGTCTCGCCATATCGCCCTCCTGTCGCAACTTTCAAACATTTACAGAAGCCCCTTCCCCTTGCCAGGGCTCCCCTCCTGGGCCTTCGCGCCCCGCCTGCCTCGTGCTGGCCCGCTGTGTGAACCACACCAGCCTGCTCCCCTCCGCTGGAGCTCTGCGGCTGCTTTCCTGAGTCTACCCCCAAGGCAAATCTTCACTTCTCGCCATCAGCCCTCGGAATTCAGCCAAAATGGTCGCTTGTTCCGGGAAGTGTTTCCAGACACGGAACTTTCCTTTAACGCTCTTCCCTCCTTACACTTCCCCCTAAACCTAAGCCTAAAATTAAGCTGGACGTAAACCTTAGCCCTACCCCAAATCCCCACCTAATGCGGCTCCCACTGCAGTGTTAACAGTAATCCAGCTTCAACCGAATCCTAGACCCAGCCTGTGCTCCTGCCCACACCTCGCCCCTCAGCCCAAGCTTGACCTCCGCCAGCCAACCAAGGACGTTTACTGTGGGGGAATGGCTCCCGGGGCGGTGGTGTGCGGCCCAGCATTGGCGCCCTGAGCCCTGAGTGTGCTTCCAGGGCCCCTCAGAGCCGGCGCTGCTGCTGAGCCGTCAGGGCTGCAGCTTCTCCAGTTTGAGAGAAACCCGTCTGTGCCTCTCATCTGTTATCTGCACACGTTTGGTGAGTTTAACCTCTTTGGCTCAATAAAGTCATCCATAAAATGGAGAAAATTAAATTTATGTCACAGATTTCCAATGATTACGCCATAACCCAAGCACCAAAGGACACACCAGGCCTTGGAGCATTGGCTGAGGCGCCCCCTCCAACAGCTGGGTCCTCTCTGAGCCCTCGTCTCTTCTTACACCTGTTCGGGGGCCTACCTCAGTGAGCAAAGTGTCTTCCACATCAGAAACCTAACACGTTTTACTTGGTGACAATGTTATCCTTGAAACTTGGTTTAATAAAACCTCATTCTAATGCAGAGGATAGAAAATTCACCTCTTACACTTACATAGAATTTTGAAGTAAAAAAGTTTATTCTCTGATATTTAAATTCCAATAATCTCCAATAAACTACTGAAATTAGATTAGATTTTGAGGTGAATGGTAGTGAACCCAGAAACTAATTTGAAAGAAAACTATTATAGGGGCTGGCCCGGTGGCGCACTGGTTAAGTTCGTACATTCTGCTTCAGTGGCCCTGGGGTTCACTAGTTCGGATCCCGGGTGCGGACATGGCACCGCTTGTCAAACCATGCTGTGGCAGGCGTCCCACATATAAAGTAGAGGAAGATGGGCATGGATGTTAGCTCAGGGCCAGCCTTCCTCAGCAAAAGAAGGAAGATTGGAGGCAGATGTTAGCTCAGGGCTAATTTTCCTCAAAAAAAAATAAAAGAAAGAAAAAAGAAAACTATTATATCTGCACTGTTTAGCACACAGTGTGTTATAGCCCCACGTTGGGGATCTATTTATTAAAATCTCGGTATGATTCAGTTTATTCATTTAGGTCGTGCATACTGCTTGTTGGGGTTATTTCTAGGTGTTTTATAGTTTTGTTTCTGTCACTATTGGGAATGGATTCGCGTCCCACCATGTCTTTTTTTCTGCCGTTTTGTGTAGAATTAGCTTGCGGCCATCACTTCAGCAACAGTTTTTCATTTGGTTCTTCAGGGCTTTCTAACTGCTTACTCTGGTCACCTGAAAATGACAACTCTTCTGTCTTTCTTCAACAACTACACCTTGTGTTTCCATTTAGTATGTTTTGGGTTGGTCAGAACTTCCAGGACAACATTAAATAATCAGTAATTTTGGGCGTCTTTCCACTGTTGCGGACTTTAATGGGAATGCTGCTTGTTTTCCTATTAAGTACCATGTTGAATATTCTTTCTTACTACTTTTGAGCGTCACCGCCGGTGGCTAAACAAGGGAGCCCAAGCAGTTTCCACTTTCGGGATTTGTTGTCGTGTGTGTGCGCGTCCATGCACCAGCATGACACAACACATTTCTGTGGGGGTTTTATGATCGCAGACTCTCTGTAGAGCTCAACATTGTCCGGTAGCCTTAATATTATTAGTTATATTTATTTACATTCTCCATATCATTATTTCTGGCTTGTCTAATTAAACTAGAAAAAGTGGACAAATCTGGGTTAAAATCACACAAATTTTATAGTCTTAGTTTCTCACTTTTCTAAGCATTTTTGCTTTGTCGCTTGATATTAGATTAATTGATGCATAAAGGGATTAATTACCTCTGTAGCTTTATTACGCATCCTCCAGCTTATAAACCCAAATAATATAAAAACAATTCCCCCTCATTCTCCCTCTTTAATTGCTTTTGCCTTGAAGCCTCTTTGCCAGGAACTAACATTGTCTCTCCTATTTTTAATTTCATTTTACTTAGGAACTCTTTGCTCTTCCTTTGATTTTTAAGGTAAATACTTCTGTTTTAGGTGTGTCCCTTGGAGGCGGCAGATACTGGGGTTTCATTTTCACTCCGGTCCGAGAATCTTTGTTTCCTAACGGTGAGGTTTAACTACTTACGTTTATTGTCAGATAGAATCGATGGTTTGTTAACGTCTGTCCTTCTGTTCCACTCGATTTATTTTCTTTTTGATTTTTTGCTGTTTCTTTTGCTTTGGGGGTTTGCATACATGGAATGTTGTATGTTTTTCATTTCCTTAGTAATCTTGAAGGTGTGTATTCTCTTTTTGACTTAACTTTATATTTCCAAAAGCCAGACTTTGGTTTATATTTTTCTAATGGTCAGAGTCAACAATTGAATAGAATCTTAGAATCTCTTCCGTGTGAGGTGAGGCATTTAGTGAATTTCCACCTCCCTCCCACCTGATTTTGTAGAGGATCTTTCTCCCCCTTCCTGGAGCGCTGGCGAGCTGGTGGGAGTCTCTCGTTGACCTTTGCTGGGAATCCGGGAAGCTCGGCTCAGCCTGTAAGTGTCACTCTGTTCCCTCTTCTCGTTCCTCAGGCAGAAAGTATCATATTCTTTTCCTGTTCTGTCTTTGATTGTTGCTTTCTGTCCAGTTCTGTTTTCTCTGGAAACCCCTTGGTGATCGCCGAGTTGGGCCTTCAGTTTCGGGGTAGGCATCACCTCTGTCACAAGCTTTGCACTTTGTAATTTGCGTCTGGGAAAGTTATTGACAGTACGATTTTGAATCCCTGGATCCATCTTCACAGTGTCAATTGCACTGCGAATGCTCTCAGTCACCGCCTTCTCTGGTCCATCTTATCTAACACTTTATCCTCTAGAGTTTATTTCCTCTTGTACATATTCTTTCTGCTCTTGTTTTAGAGAATAGAAATTTCCCTGTCTTCCTGTTTCTGTACTTTGTGGCTTTCAGAGGCTTTCTTCCTCCAAGTCTGCCTGTGATCTTGGTCATCAGCATTTAGCACTTTCTGTTTTTGTGTGTTCTTTTTATTTATCCACCTTCACATGGAAAGAGCATTATCTGGACCTGTTCTTTCTTACCTATGAGGTGCGTGGATTGCTCCTGCCCTACTTGCTCTCCAGCTGGGTTCTGAGGAAGTCCTCTTCCTGGAGCTGTAACTGCATTTCACATGGATGTCCCGGCTTGATTTCCAGCGCGTTAGCATCTTTCTGCTATTTTGCTGGTCCGTGTTGAGAGTTTTCTCTTATCCCAATGCCTGACTCTGTAATATTCAGCACAGAGGAAATACATACAGTTCCCAGCCTGTGAGGACACGTGGCTTTCTCCACTTCTGAATGTGACCACACTTGGGAGTGCTCACTGTGTCACCGCCGCTTCCCTGACACCCCTACTCAGTTGAGTTTTAGCAGTGACACTATGTGGATTAGTACGTGGATATTAGCGGCACAAGAGGAACGGCCGTCTCCACGAGCTACAGAGTCTGTGATTATGAACCAGCAGAAAGACAGTGGAGGCGACAGGAGATCTCCTACCTACTGCATGAGCTTGTGGGCCCTTTACTTTACCTTTTTCTATTTTATTTTTGGAGCATAGCACTCATGGGCCACTAACGGTGTGTTTCTATGCAGCATCGGAGACGGATGGTTAGTGACGCTTCCTGCCAGAGCTGTGAGTGGGTCATTTCTTAGTACAGTCGCCAGTATCTTTAAGAAGCCTTCTCTTCTTTGGAGTCTTAAGTATCGGAACATTGGAAAGGGTGTGTCAGGGACCCGCAGTTACAAGCCTTCTTAGACCGGAGGCTCCAGTTCTTTCCACTGACTCAGCCCTGAGAAGGACCCTCAAGGGCTTGGCTATTGCACTTTCCGAAAGGTCTTTAGCGCCGCACCCTGGAGCTGGGGCCCCGAGGGCAGCTTTGGGGTTATTAGTCTCCACGTGGAAACGTATTAATAATATGATTAATAGCTAATGCAAATGTCAAACAGCAGACATTAATATAACAACATATTAAGTTAGGCACTATAACCAAGGGGCTGAGAACATGCGTTTTGGACCAGGATCTGAGGATCAGTCACTTACTGGCTTTTTGAACGGAACTCAGGTAAGCCATTCAACATCTCAGCTTCTAACCTGTAAAATGGGGCTCTCACGGGAACAAAGTGATGAAGGCAAGTAAAGTGGTCAGAGTGGGGCTGGCACACGGATGTCCCAGGACAAGGTGTCATGTTATTATTGTTCACGTTATCATTGGAAACACTCTTCTAGTCCCCTAATGCAGTTTTCTGGAATAAGGAGATACTGGTGCTGCTCCTCCTGTGGCTGGCAGTAACAGACGCCGCTCGTGAGGTGGTTGTACACAGGCCGTGCTTCCGTTTCCCAGGGGAGTAAGAGGTCACTGAGATTCCCAGACAACTGTGGAGTGAAGGTTGTTAAACTGACTTGAACGGGGGACCATCCGAGTGTAGAAGCCTGCTGTGGTTCAGCCAGAACTCAGGTGACTCAGGAATTCTTCCTCAGGCCTCTCTCGCTCATCGTCTTGGGAAACGGAGTTTGCATCTCAAGACAGGAGCATACTTGCTTGGAAAAAGTTTTATCAGAAAATGTGTGATTTCCACAGTGTGGAATAGCTATTGTCAATCGGATGTTCTTTCATAGATTCCCTGGCTTCTGAGAAGGCGTCTTAGCCACGTGGCCCTTGTGTTTCACCAGCTGAGTTGATGGGGGAAGTTAATCGAACGCATTGGGAGAAATTCTTTGTCTCAAAACCCAAACACATTGTCTTGGAGGAAAGAGTTTGTGAGATGTTCTGTAACTGCCTCGCTCTCTTCCTAGGCCCCTGCATATTGATCTAAAAAGTAATAGCTGACATAACGATGATGACAACACAGCAATAAGTACATCTTAATACCAGCTGACCTTTGTTACGTGTATGACATGTGTCGGGTGCTGTTCTCAATGTTTTTCACAGATGACACAATTTAATCCTCATAACAGCCCATGAGGCGGGAACTAGCATTTGTCCCACTTCACAGATGGACAGATAAATCGATTTGCCCTAGGTCACACTGCTGGGAAGCTGCTGAGGAGGGATAAACGCAGGTGTTTTCATTCTGGAATGTGTGTTTTCAAACTAAGCTCTCCCACTTTCTTACCCCACCTCCACTTACATTCGTGCTCATACCTCTAACTGTCAACCACGGGAAGTCGCCGTGGATTGGGGTGAGGAGCCACACTCAGTCTCCCCTGTTGGAGAAGAGAAGCTCAAGAAGAGGCCGTAAGGACTTTGGTGGAAGGTGTTTATTTGGAGCCCGAGTTTCTCAGGGTTGGCGATAGTGGTCTCTTACGTGCTTCTCACACTTTACAACTTTCAGAGAAACTTTTCTACCTGCTGATTTATTTGACCCTCAAAACAGCCCCATGAACCATGTGAGGATGACGTTATTATTTCAAAGATGATGAAGCCAACAACCTCAGAGGTCAAGGGGCTTTCTAAAGGCCACACAGATGATTAGAGACGATTTGGGATTATCTACAATAATGATAGTAATAATAAACCATTGCTAAATATTTACCACACGCCAAGCACCATGCTAATTAAGCACATCAATGACATTAACTGGTTTCGCTTCCAACAGCCAAATATATGAGATCACGTGGCTGAGGCACAGTTCTGGCACACGACGAGCCAGGACACAACACAGGTGGGGCTCTCAGCTCTTAATTTCAGTCTCTACTTCTCTCACTAGGGAGAAATGAATTTTCTTTAAAGGAGACACAAGAGAGACTTTGTCCACTTTTAAACAACTTTCGGTATGTGGAAAATATTAATTATGATAATAGTAATTAACACTGTCTCACTGTTCACTGTGGCAGGCACTACACCATCCATTTGCTCATTGAATTAATAAGCTTTGAATTAATTGAATTAATAACTTATCACCTACTATGTGCCAGGCACTGTTCTGAGTGCAAGAAAACACTATGAGCAAAACATTATCTTTCATGGAGCTTATGGTCTTTTAAGAAAGTAATCAAATACTCACATCATTTATAGACAGTGCTAAGTGCCCCAGGAGAGTCTGGAGTGTAGGGTCTCTGTCACAGTCTGGGGACAGGGGAGGCATCTGGATAAAGTCACGTTTGTACTGAGAACGTAGGGTGGAAATGTCAGCTACAAGAGAATGTGTCTTAGGGGAAGGAGAAGAATGTGTGTAGAATCTGAGATTTTGGGGATTTTGAGAAACTGAAAGGTTAATTGACTGGCTGGAGTATGTTTATGGAGAAGAAGAGCGGTGCCAGACAGGCTTGGAGAGGCAAAACCATGCCGACTTAGCTAAGGATTTTCTATCTAAAGAGAAAGGGTAATCCATCGAGATGAGAGGTTACTTGTGTTTGAAAAGATCCCTCAGCCTTATGTGTGAAGCACAAATTGAAGGGGACAACTGAGACCAGGCAGGAGGCTGCCGTGGCGACACGGGTTAGACAAGATGGTAGCTTGGGCTGGGTAGGGTAAGATGGAGAAAAGTGGATGGATGTAGGAATTATTTAGGAGGTAATCTCAACAGGATTTGTTTTGCATTAGATACATGGAGCAAGCAAGAGGAAGGATTCTGGCTTGTGCAGCATGCACTGCTCCATTTAATCCTCACAATAGCACCATGATGATTGTACCTCCAAGTTCCAGGAAACAGATTCCGAACGTTTCTAGCCACTGTCCATGGTCATGCAGCTCATCCACGGCAGAGCCGGGATTCACCCAGGTCCGCCCGGTGAATCTGAATCTGGGTTTCGTCTGCTATGTTACACTGGGAATGGGAAGAAACTCCATGGCCCGTTGTAGGGAGGGGGTGTTAGAAGCCACAGGAAGTGCGGAGTCGAGTGAAGCAAGTGGGCACCACGCAACTCTGAAAATACGCGTGGCCTCGAAGCCCAAGCTCTCGCGACGTCCATGAGAGTTTGCAGCTGGTGCCACCGTGACTTTTACGAGACTGAAGAGCACAAGCCAGTATCTTCACTGAGTATGACTTCGTTAAATGTCATTGTTATAAATAAATAACGCATGTTCATTGTAGAAAAATGAAAAAATACAGAAAAGCAGAAAGGAAAACAATGAAAATCTCCTGTAATCCTCAGAGGGGGGAAAACATTCGCTTGCTTTTAATTCAACAATGCCACGCACTGGGTTAACCACCACAGGTATTCAGTGGAAGGAAACCAGAGACCCATAGACCCAGGCTTTGTGAGGATTTTGACTTGAGGAAATTTAGCCTCTGGGGCTCTAGCTCCCTCCTTGTACATGGAGAGAAACTCTGTCCTCATTTAATGACCAGCCTTGTTTGAGCCTGACTCAGTGTGTCAGTGCTGGGCACAGCCTCAGAGTGTCCCACACCACTGGCTCACTCTGCCCGTCCACTTGGTTCCTCAGGGGGGAGGGGAGATACTGATGTCGCTCTCACAGGGATGCGCAAGGACCAGCTCCCACGTGTGGAGAGCACCTGGGGGGCTCAAGAGCGAAGACACGGTGGCCCCACACCTACACACACACATGCACACGCACGTATGTACGCACATACATGCACGCACGCACATACACATGGTCGGCGGCAGTTTGCTGAATGACCTCCTGTCGTCTGGAAGCCCCCACTCAGGGGAAGCAGGTCCTGGCAGGCCTACCAGCCCTGTTGCTCTCGCTCCCCCGACTTCTCCTCCTGGCGAGCTGCACAAAACCATTGCTTTTGGGTACTTGCCACAGGCTGGCCCTTAGAGACAGGAGGAATCCTAAGACCCAGACTTTATTCTTAAGGAGCAAGCAACGTGGTGGGGCCAGATGGTAAACAGAAAACTCCAGCACAATTTAATCAGTGCTGTTGTAACTGAGCCATGGGCTGCGGGCCGGAGGGTCGGGAAGTGACTCCTTTGCCTCAGGGAAGGCCTGGGCCCATGGGAGGGCAGAGTCTGCTGGTTTGCTGGGCGGGGAATGTGCAGGGCCTGTGTCTTGGTGAGGAGCCCTCTTCTGGAACCCACAGCCCGTGAGACCTTGGGGATGCCACGGCCACCTTTGACATCCGAGGCAGAGCAGAGGGAACGGGGTGGGCAGGCGGGTGCAGGAAGGAGGTCTCTGCAGCCACCACGCCCCTTCCCTGCCCCTCTCCACATCCTCCAATCCCCCAGCTCCGGCTCTGCTGAGGCCCGAGTCAGACACTGACAAGTCCTCTGCCGCCTGCTCCCACCCACGGAAGCTCCCGGAGAGCGAGCTTGGTCGAACTGCCAACCCTGCAGACTCGGCAGCATGTTCACGAAACCCAGATCCCTCTCCGGGCTGGTTGTTTTTAAGCTTCTTGGGTTTTGTGGAATGAAAGACTTTGATGCTGGAATCCCTCTCTATCTTCTGATGGGCATGTGCTCGCAGCCCCGGGGCCCTGGTGCGGATGCAGCATGGTGGAGAGGGGGCTCGCTCTCCAGTTCCTCATGGGCCCGCTGTTCCCCACCAGGCTTACGGCGTCCTTGTCGCCTCACCTCAGCCCACCTGGCTGGTGTGAGGATGTTTGTGCAGGTGGCCCCTGTGTTTAGCTTTGTCATTTCTTGACTTTTCAGTTGAGAAATTATCTCAGCCCCCCCCATAGTAATTTCGCCTCAATTCTTTGCATTTTTGCAAAGTTCTGCGGCTCTGCTAACAATGCTGTGCACACCTGGACCCCAGCGCTGGGCAGTGTCCACATGTGTCCAGGACTCCCTCCTGTCCACCAGGAAGGAGGCCAGACCACAGCTCCCATTACAGCGCTGTTTCTCACTTTCTTACAGAAATGAGAATTGACGTTGCTGTTTTTCTTAAAACGCAACAAAACAATCTATGATGATTTTAACTGATTCTTAAATGAATTGATGAATCAGCTCTTTGGCCCACAATGTCGATCTTCTCAACATTTGAAGAGAGCCCGCCCAGCCAGCTGCTAAGGCACTCCATCAGCGGGACTACAACTGCCCACCTGTGGGGGAGGGGGCGGACGAGGAGTTTTGGGGCTGGGGGAGGCAGATAGCACCATCCTGGGGACAGAGTTCTCACGCCCTCGATGGGGACAGGCTTTCTCTGCATCTGGGTCACATGGGAGATGGTGCCCACGACGTGGTGTCTGCTGTGGGGAGAAGGGTGGGCCACATGACTGAATGTCCCATTCAGCCATCGAGCCCAGCCCTGCCCGTGAGCCCCACCAGCACTGCAGCATTGTGAGCGCTGCTCTGCCCAGGGTTGTGCATGTCCACCTCTGACCTGCTCCTTATTCCCCATTGTCATCCCTCTCAAACAGTCAGCAGGGCGAGAGCGTGTGCGAATTAAGGGTCACAAAAGGAACTTGGGTTTTGAGGAGGAAGAAGCCTGTTCAACATGTGGCAGCTCTAAAGAGCGCTGACGGAGACACACTGTTTACAGGCAGCAGCTGTCCGGAAAATAGATGTTTACTTGCAGTGAGGGTAGTAAGATTTCTGCCATTAGGCAAAGTAGATTCTGCACCGTGTCTTCTCCTACAGAAAACCATGTTGGAATAAACCTTTAATTAGCAGTGCTTGTGGCAATGAAAAATATTAAACAGAATCCTGGTCTCTATTGGCATTTCTGCTTATTAAAAGAGAGACAGGAAGGGAGAAGCACTGGGAACCTGCCTTTGGAAGGATGGCCTTTTAAAATAGTATGTTCCATTTAAAGCTACAAGTGCAATGTTTGCTAAATTGACTAAATTACTGCAGAAAAAAATTTCCCTACTATTCACAAGAACTTAAACCCACTGAGTTTGCCTGAACCGTCCATCTTCTGATGAAAAGGTACATTTTAATACAATCAGGGGCATCCTTTGCATCAGACTGGCTCGCGTCTCTCATGAGTTTCTTTAGTGGGAGATGAGACTAAATGTTTCTGTTGAATAATAGGAGGTCTTTCTGCACAACTCTTCCAGGCCACGGACTGGGCACCACGAGAGCAGTGGTGTCCTATCTTGCTTTGGACACATAGTAATTTTTCTGCCTCTATATTTTTAGCAAACAGACTCGTGCCCCACAATACCATCATCGAGTACATAGTCCTAATCCTGTAAAGTTCTGAATGCTTTCCCTTCTTGTGCTGAAAGAGTCAATTCATTTATAACCAGTTTGGTCCAAGACGAAGCCAGTGGACCCTGTGTCTGAGTGGCTCATTCTAGGCGTGTGCACACCCTTGAGCAGTGTGCAACCTTCTCCAAGTCTTGGTTCCTTTGTATGTAAAGTGGGGCAATAATACTTAGTTCATAGGTTTATGGCAAAGATTAAATGAAAAACAGAACGTAAAGCAGGTAGGACAGACTTCAGCAGGTGGTCTGTGCTTAATCAACGGTAGCTGTTAGGATGAGAGATTGTGTCAGGGACAGACAGGTGGGCTTCCCAGAGCCCCTGAAGCTGAAGCGATGGTGTCTGGAAGCAGCAGCAGCTGATTTTCTGCCCCCGGCCCTTAGTGGGGGGCTCAATACCTATTTGGTGAATAGATGGACTGCCAGACAGGCTCCTGAACGTTACCCCCCAGATCTACCAGTCAAACCCACCCACTGGTTTTGCCAGATCATGAACTCCACTTTTCTTCATCCTCTGTTTTCTCAGTGGACCCACTATTTCGTGAGAAGCAGGAAGAACTGCCATCTGTTATGCTCAGCTCTCTTAAGCCAAACCAACAACACTTATTGAGGCCAAGACAGGTGAGCCGACGAGGTCAGGGGAAGTCATTCTCAGCGTGGTTTCTAGAACACGGCTCTGCAAATATATGTGACGTGGCAAAATCTAGGACAGGGGTTTGTTTTTATTATTTATTTTCGGTCTTAAATGGTGCAATGGCTTAACGTGAATCCTTGCCCCCATGTCCTGGTTTGCTGTTTCACTCCCTGACAAACGCTCATTTCACACTGAGTGCTCACCTGGAGCACTGAGACCTGCCGTCATGCCAGCAGGAGCCCTTTCTCCGTGGTGCCAAGGGGAGCTCTGGCGACTTTGGAAGCCCTTAGATCAACCCCTCCCTCCTTACGGGACACCCTTGCTGCTCACTCAGTGGCGTGGGGGTTGGAATTCTGAACAGACTGAGGAGAGACGGACCGTGCAAGAGCTCCTGCCATCTATTTTTCAGTCCCAAAGTCGTGTATCTTGCTTTCTCCCTTTCAGTATTTCCTTATTTTCTTGGTTTCACAGAACTGTTTTATAAGAAAGTTTCAAAAATATCCTGGGATTACCATCTCTGAATGAACTTTCGTGCCCGTAGTCTAAGCCCCTTCGGTTTAGAACCGCCCCACCCCAAAGCCTCTGCTTTTCACTACCAGCTGCTGGTTCTTTTCATGCTCATGAAAGCACACACAGACACACAGAGACACCCGTGTGCACGTGTCCACACGCACACTCCGCATAGATGGAAACATCCAGAAGGAACGATGCATTGTCCAAGCTGTCCCGTTGAGTTTGTAATCCAGCATGAGTTACCGAGTGCTGATAAGCAGGGGAAGTTCAACCAGACAGTTTAATCCTCCAATTTCCTGTCTTCTAATCAGCCCCTGATTCTTTTGGTTTTAAATTAGAAACATTCCTGACAATATTCAGGACAGGTGAAGGAAAATCAACTGGAAAACAAGGACAAAGCATTTATTTTACTGTCTAAAGTTCACAGGAGAAATATGAGCGTAATAACAGGAAATCAAGATTTTTAAAAAGATAGTAGCAGTACATAGGCTGGCTTAAGTCACCAGTCACGTTTCTGAATGAAGCACATTTGGATCATAATTTGATTTAAAGAAAAAAAAAAGCAGAAACAGCTTAATGCTTGTTCTTCTTTCTAAGGATAGTAAACGGGACCAGAGGAGGTACTGTAAAAAGCCAACCTGAAAGAAAACGAGGCAGATAATTTCTTAACGTACGCGGGAGGAAAAAAGCCACTTCAGATTTTGCTTGCCATCGATTATTGTTAATACTATGAGAGAATAATGTTTGGAGGGTACAGAAATCTTCGAAGTTAATGCATATTCTTAGAAATTAATATAGTCATGCATATTTATAATAGTGGATAAAAATAAGACCATTGTGCATTTAAAAATAGCTCAGGTAGAGTGTGCCAATGCTTGAAATAGAATGTATACAAATACATTTATCATGGACACTTCCTTTTGAAAACATACTGGATGCTGAGAACATAATATTTATTATTTACTGAGTCTTTTTTTTCTTTTATAGCCATTGTAGCAATTTCCAAGTTATTTTAATCATTATCACGAAAGAGCTAGTGCAAATGCATAAAAGCAGTCTCTGTTGGTGTGTTCCAAAGAACCCAGAGGACGGTCATCAACAAAAGTTATTCAGGTGAGAATTAACATTCTAAAAATTGCAATGGTAAACGCAACTTAAGATGTGAATCCAGGCAAATAACAACAACAAAGGTTTGCATGGAATATGAGTTCTGAGTTTTGGGTGCAGCCATTGGGGCTGCCAATCATTCCGGGAGTAGCCTAGAGTCGAGAGTTATTCTGAATTGTTGAACACAGTAACACAGTGTTTCACAGAAGCACCTTGTTAATTTACACAGATACTTAAAAAAAGGCATTTCCATTAAAGGCATAGCATATTCTTCCTGCTCAAGTATTTTCCTCGTATGCAAAGTCTGAGTTGTAAAAATTTGGATTAAGTGATGGATAATTCTTGATTGAAAAATTACATGGCAATTTCTAAAGCGGATGCTTCCCAAATAAGTGCTTGGGAATGAGCTTGGGGCAAGGGGTGGCCGGATGATTTAATAGCCTTCATTTCATAGTTGCTATGAGTTTAAGTTGGATCACAGAAACAACACACGTGTATTTTGTAATTCACACAAAAAATAGTCCAATAATATCTCGTTATCAGTTAATGACTAGAAAGAGGAGAACATTCATTCTGCCTTCGTTTTAATGCCGTGGGGGTAGGACGGAGGTAACTCCCTGGACAGAATTATATTCTGAAGCGTTTACAGGCATGGGGGTGCTTCCATTTCATTCAAAGTGGGGAACATTTCAGGAGGGTTTTCTCTGGTTTTCTGTTGGAGGACTTCAAATAGAGATGTCACAACACAGCTAGATTCAGTTAATACGTAATTCCTATTTCTTGATTTGCATGATTAAAGCATTAGAGAAGAGGCTCACATATCAAAAGGTTCCTCATAAGTGGCAGCGCCAAAGGTAATTACTGTTAAAGTGCACGTGCTCCGACCCTGCTCCTTGTGAACTTCTAACTTGTTTACAACTCCTTGGGCTGGAATGAAAGTCTTCATTTGACTTTTGGAAATCAAGACCGCTTTCTCGCTCCATTTTGCTATCCAAGGGCATTTCGCATTTCTTAAATCCTGTGTCCCTCAGTCAACATTAGCTCCAACCGAAAAAAGCCATAGATGATAGAGAAGGCCCTTCTCAGTATTTCACATTTTAGAACAATTGCTTCTTAAACAAGCATAGTCTTTTTAAGACAAAGCTAAAATTTATGCTTAAAAACACACACCCAGTTAATTTAGTCAACTGACGTCCCGTGAGTTATCAAAAAGTGCAGTGAAAACCTCACGGTCAGCCTGGTGCCTTTGGAAGGATGGGGACAGAGAGGGAGCGAGGAGAGGCTGCGAATCTCAGTCTTTCATTAGCCAGCTTCTTTCATTCCAGTGGGTCTTTATTATTTAGAAAAATAAAAAGTGATTTGTAACTCTCTCCATTCTCACCTAAAATTTTGGAGTAGGTAATGGCTGTCTACAACCTGGTCCAACACGTGCCCCCAAACTAAAACAAACACACACATTTGCCATACAAATTGTTTACGATTCATTAAAAAGCAAAATTGCATGTCCCTGTGCTGGCAGCTGAGGCCGCGCTCCCGGCAAGGGGCACTCACTGCCTGCCTTTGTATGCGGAGAGCACCAAGCCGGAGGCTCCCACCACACAGCCCGAGTCTGTGCGGCCAGAGGACGCAGGAGGTAATTTTAAAGCTTTATTTGCCTTTCGTGTGAAACTCGGATCTTGTACTGTCCTTTGGTTAAAGTGCTGTATCAGCCAGGGGCAAGTTTAAGTTTTTTTTAGTTGAGGAAAACTGTTTCGGGTAGCAAGGTGGGGATATGGAGGGAGAGGAGAAGAGAAGAGTAAGAGAAAACGCAAAACTTGTCTTATTTTAATTCATTCTCTCCCCCTTCACCCACATCCTCAATTTCCCATCAATATCGGGAAGTTTACGTTGGGATTACTTGTAACTGGCAGATCTAAAACGCTACGGTATCTGGTCACCTTTGAGGGATAGGAAAATGAATTTATTCTTTATGGCGACTCCCACAACTTCTTTAAAGAGCGCTCTGATTTCTCACCCCTTTCAAAGCAAAGATCCAGAAGCATTGAAGTTGAGAGAAACTTCCTGTAGTCTGCAGCCTAAACAGCAGCCTGTGAGCTCGAAGCATTGTTTATTTTTAGTCAACTGCATCGCTAAATGTTTCCACCACTTTTATATTTTATATTCCCGGCGGTAAAACATCTGTAAAGTAATTTTAAATGAAAGGCAACTTCCAAGTAAACTTTACAAAAAAGAAATGACAGTTTTGCAAGTTAAAAAAAGAGGAGCATTTGGTGATCTTTGCAAGAAAAAAAAAAAAGACACAATTTGCCATAAAAAGTAACAGTCTATAAAATCGAGGAGCTCTTGAAACACAAGGAAGCGGAATGTTACCCAGAATATGACATCAGCACGCAGACTTTTTTAAAGCTTATAACTTAGCATAGAAAATAATAGCGAAACCAATCGGTATATTCGTTTCCAGTGTTTAACGAGCTGCGTTAGGCAACCTCGTAGCACACAAGCAAACCGGTCCTTTCTGGCAGAGCCTGTGATGGGGGTGTGTGTCCTGAATGCAGGTCCAGGGGATCGGTGGACAGTTCACCCCCAGTCTAACCAACGCAAAGCACGAGTAACACTGTCCCGAAGTCACTGGGAAAGTTTCTAACGTCTACTCAAGAAACTGCAAGTTAAAACACACGTACCCACAACATACCCACAGCCACCTTAACTCAATTGCGAGTCCTTGGGACGGACACACTGCACCCAAGAAGCAGCTGAACAGAAGCCTGCGGCAGCTCACTTTTAACAGTCTCTCAGTCCTCAGAACTCCTAAAACTCGCCAGAACACCACCACCCTCGGTCCAGGGAGGGGAAAGGAGAACTCTTTCTGCAGATCGGACAATGAAACCGACCACGTCCCGTCTCGTAATTCCATTCGCCAGTCTGCCTCTTCGACACCACTCTCTCTCTCTCTTTTTTCTTAAACTGATATCTATGTGAAACGAGCTGAAGTTCACGGTCCAGTTAGGAACGGATAATACATGCATTGTCCTGGCAGCAAACTTTTTTTTCGCTCCCTGGAAGAATTCACGCTTGCCGCAAGAATAATAATTGCGAAAACTAGAAATGTGCTGCTAACGAAGTAATCCTCAACGGCCGCCACCCTAACGAGGGCAGAAACGATCCGAGGACGCCCTTCCCCACAGGACTCGCTTCTCCCGTGACAATCAGCCATTGTGCATCCTCCCAACTCACTCTACCTCTTATAGATCCAAGATGTCAAAGGTTGTCTGGCCTGGTTGACCATGACATGTGAGTTAACTCATTCCGTGACGGCGTGGTGGAACTTTGTTAAAACTTTGTACGCAGAATTACGAAAAGGTAGGGCGTGTGGGTCTTTTCCACTCAGAGCTAGAGCTCCTAAGAGACTTAAGACCTGCTCTGACATAAACGGGGAAAGTCAGACGGGAGCTGTGGGGCCGGGCGTGGGACCCAGCCTTCGCTCACAGGTGACTCAGGGCAGCCCAGTCAGTGGGGCAGGATCGGGGCTCGCCAGGGCTTGCTTCTCCCCAGCGCCCACCACGCGTCCTCAGAAAATACACAGCCAAGGAAAACCATGCCCCCCACAGTCCCTGAAAACAAAAGTAGAGGGATGTGAGGCCAGAGAGAGGGAGCACAACGTAAGGGCCAGGACAAGCGTTTCGCCTTCTACTCCAAGACCGGCGTGGCTGAAATACCACCTCAACCTTAAAACTTCTGATGCTCTTAAAAAAATTCAAAAAACCCAAAAACCTCCCAAAGCCTGTCCCACAGAAACCAGGGCAAGCCTCCCTGGGAGCCCGAGTCGCAGAGTGGCAGGAGAGGGTGGCAAGAGAGGGTGGCAGAGGAAGCAGCGTGAGGCTGCCTGGCTGAAGAGTGTGAAAAAATCAAATGCGAATTTGATGAATGTGAGGTCTGGGACATTTTGTCAAAGAGGGAGGGAAAGTAGAAAAGGGAAAAAAAAAAAAAGCAGCACGGCTGCCAACTCACCATCCACCAAGTTCTGGCCGAGATGTCGTAGCAGAGCTGCCATTTGATGGAGCCCTCGGAAGCTTTCCCTGCCATTACGCTGTCAGCAAGCTTCATCTGATGCTAACTCACGGGAGATAAGACACCTAATTGAGAAAACATTTGCGGTGGCATGTGGGGCAACATGCAGGCCGGTCCATACCATATGGAATCACGGGTAAACCCTCCTTGACAATGGACCAGCCTCCACAGACCCAGTGGCAAGGTGAAGTGGAGAGAGACGAGGAGCCTCCTGCCAGCTGTCTTCTCTCCTTTTAAACGCGGACCCACCACCACACATCAAAGCGAGCCGCTAAAGTTAGGGCTTCATCACCCAGATGACTCTGGTCTGCAAGGTTTTTCCTTTCCTCCCAACAACCAATCCCCCTCTTTTTTTTTTTTTTTAGGAGAATAAAGAGATTTAATAGGACAAAGGCAGGTAGTGGACTGTGGAGTGAGATCGCCACAGGCTATTAGCCTAAAATTTCTGCTTGACAGATGGAACTGCTTAGAGACTATCATGCGATGTTTTGGGCTTTTTCTTTCTTCCTACCCCCCCTTCCTCGACTTTAGGTCTGATTCAGTATCTGTTTTTCGCAGCCACTTTTCTCAAGAACGTGAGCTGTGCATTTAAAAAAAAAAAAAATGTTTAGTTCAGTTTTCCTGTCTTACACATCTCTGCTGGAAGCAAAGAGAAAAGTCTAAAACTGAATCTGGGAACAGCCGAACAGATTTTTCAAGGAGTAAGAAAAAAGTATTTCTCCTTCCTTTATTTTTAAAAATTAATTCATTATTTGGTTTGGCTGTGGGGGAGCACGAGCTGGAGGCAGCCGGACTCAAATCAGCTGATTTTGGTTCGGCTCGCGCCCTGTTTAGATGTGTGTTTTCACGTGAGGAAAGATTACTGATATTTCACAAGTTCTAACCCAGGCTGGGTGCCATCTCTATTTTTGGTGTCCTTTTTCTAAAAAATTAATTCTGGGCTTCTCCATTCTTCGTCAACGAAGTGATCAGTCACTAGCAATTCAGTTTGACACAATTCAGGCTAAACTTGACACGAGAACTTCTCTATTCAGGGAAAATCACGTCTGATTTCCTTGCTGTAACCAAGCCATCCTCTTTACAGGGGTTTTAACCACACATCCTCTCTTGAGCAGGAAAAAATCAACCACAATGTGGGCCTACCAATAAGAATGTCTGTAAAATGATTTTTTTTTTTTTTAGTGAGAAGTCCAGTCAACTGCTGAATTTCAAGCCATTTAACTTCAGGACTAAAGGGGAGAAAGAGGTAGAGAGAATGCCTTGCATTTGGTATATTTTATTTTTTCAAACGGTGTGGGATTAGGAACTGAGGAAATACCTCTATGAGAGCAGGGTACCAACGCATCCTAATTCTTTTTCTGAGGGTGAGCTAGTCCTTGGTCCTCGAGCCCAGAGCAGCAATGTTGTGATTCCCTGTGCTGGGGTCTCTGTGTCGGCTCGCCCAGCACGGAGAATTTATCTGCAGTGTTTTTCAGGGCGATTAAACTCAGATTATTTAAAAAGTTGTGCATTTACAGTCCAACTATCCAGCGGATTTTTTTCTAGTCACATTTTCGACTGAATAATATTTAGATGAACTTATTTGAGACACAGTTTAAGTTCCAAAGAGGTCAAATTGGGTGACTTTCTTTCCCATTTCTGGTCTCTTCTTCAGCAGGTGCTATTTTAACCGTTTAGCATTGGGTAAATAGCTGTTTCGACAAAAATAATTTTAGTAAAGCAAATTTTATCCAGTTGCACCTGAAATGTTTCATGATTTAAAGCAAGATGCACGAACGCTTCTGCAGAATGAACTGCAGGTACAACAAAGAAGTCACTTTTTTCTTTCTCATGCCTCATTGTAACGAGATTTCTTCTAATAATATGGGGGTATGAGGGGGTATCGAGAATTATCACCAAATACGGATATTGCCGTTACTCTCAGAAGCATCTTTGTGTTCTTTATTACTCTGGCATCACCTCTCTTTTCAGAAGGGTCCACAGTAGCACAGGAGGTGTTAAGTGGCCTTGAGTCCACAAGCAAGTGCCTTCTTCCAGGACCTGGCCCCGAGCTGACCAGCCGACACATTTGTTGCCTTGCGTAACTGCAGTGACTTTAAAATGCCCTAGCCTTTCTTCAGTTTACCATTTAGAAAAAAAAGAGAAAAGACACGGAAATTCTATACGAAATGTAAAATAGCACAAACCACAAAAAAAAAAAAAAAAAAAAAGGGAAAGAAGAGAAACGCGGCAGCCTCTGTCTTTGCATCTGCCCAGCTCTGAGGCGTCCCTCCCACCTGCCTCCCACGGCAGACAGCCCCGCTCCGTCCGTCAGCCTTCTCTGGGGCACAGAGGTGTGGACAACCTGCCTCCGAGGGCCACAACCTCACGGTTTCTGACTTTCCCCAGCATCTCTGAAGTTAGAGGGGCCGCTTCTTGAGCCGCTGCCTTTCTGAGACGCACGGCACCCTGTGCACGCCCATTATTGATGAACGATCAGGGCAGGAGGGAAACTGGAGTCCAGATTCCACTTTGTGAAGGACGGGATACGCAGGAAGATTTTACAGGAGATGGCACAGTAGTTTTGAACAAAGAGATGAGAAATATGATTGGATAATCGTGTTTCAAATCGGGAACAATTAGGGGTATTTAACTTTATCATTGTTCTCTAAGAGGCTGGGGGAAGCTGTCCTTTCCCTCGTAGCAATGTCTTTTCACAGTGTGGCCCGTTGTTAATAGCCTTAAAACAAGATTAAATAAAACACGTTAAATATTGCAATTATTGTGGGAAATAAAATTATTTGGTGAGCATAATGAGGAGCAATTCAAGCATTTAACATGATCCAGGAAATGCTACTCCAAACAATTGCATTTGCTTTATGCATTTTCCCCCTCTGATTGCTGACAGATGCCTTTTTGGAAACAAACATCTAAATGGTTTGCTTTCAGTCAGAAAAAAAATATAACAGAGAACGGCTACATGTTTTGAATTTAACTCTTGTCATTTGAATGCTTCTTTCCCTGCACGTGAATGGATCTTAACAGACTCTCATCAGGAAACGAGCCCATCACAGTTTGGACGTCCTCGCTTCCTTCGACCATGTTTTACGAGGAGTGGGAATCCCCGGGCCGTGGAGTCAGGTGATGGGTTCCCCCGGTCTGTGGTGGGAGGACTGGGGCTGCAGGGAGCATGACAGAGAACAGTTTTCTCCTGACGTGAGGCCTCCTGGCGAGAGCGTGCCCCTTTCCAACTTCATTCAGGGGTTTGTGGCCAACTTGCCCCAAATCAGCTCCCCACTTTTGTTGGATGGGGAGGACCCAGAGCCGAGGGGGCAGGTGCTGCCAGCAGGTGTAAGCACCAAGGGGAGGGTTCGGTTTTTGTCACATCTTGCTGAAGGGCAATGTGAAGTGGAATATTAATAATTTTCAGAGGCTGGATAGCAGAGCGGTTGAGAGCACTGTTTCTGAAGTCCAACTGCCCGTATCCCAGCTTAATGGGTTCCCAACTGTGTGACTACTCCCAGGTTACTTAACCTCTCTGGTTCTCTGTGTCCTACTCAGGAAAATGGAGATAACGATGGTTATTAAGTTAGTTAGTGGCAAAGATACGCATCAAGCCAATAGCTTCTGATGTGTAATGAGTGCTGGGGCAGAGTTATTGTTTGTTACTATTACTCCTCTATTGAGGGGAAATCCCCTTTCTCCCCCATGCCCTTGTCTCTGTTCTTCCGTGACGATCTGTGCTCTGTGCATTGTGGCCCTTAGCACCCTCTCCTGGGATCATCTGCCTCCCAGTCGGCCTTCCCTCCTGAACCGGGAGATTCTTGAAGGCAGGGCCGTGTTGCGTTCATCTTGGCAGCTGTGAGGTCGGCTCAGTGGTGGGCAGAGTGGGGTCTCCTTAAATGGCGAGAGAAAGAGAGTGAGAAGGCTCAGAACACGAGTCGATTTGAGGTTCTGCTGCATTCTTCTCCTTCACACAGCCCGTTCCTTTACCTCGGCTCAAACCGCTGCCCCTCTTAGGACATCGCCCGGCACTGCAGGCTAAGCCCTCCCCAGACCCCAGTGCACAGCAGCCTCTGGTGCCCCTGAATTCCTGTCGTCTTCCTCATGTGCATCGTCCGTTGGTACTTCATAGACCGACTATACTATTTGTCTTGAATGAATGTATGTTATTCACTCACTCATTCCTCACCCATTTAACAGCAACTTCTGCATCGTAGGCAATTAAAACCTTTTTTCCGCTTCTTTTCAAGCTTTGTTTCTAGGGCCATTGGAAATGTGAAACTCTAGGAGAAGAGCAACTTGGTTTTGAATGCAGCATATAATCACAGCTAAGACGTATTGAGTGCTTCCGCTTAGCCAGGCACCGGTCTAAGATCTTTCTCTATCAACTGGGTCCTTAGGACGTAGGATCTTTTATTAACCCCATTTTACAAACAAGAAAACAGGCTCCTAGAGTTGAAGCAACTTATTTAGGGTCCTAGAGTTAGAGACGGGAGGAGTCAAGCCCAGGAGCTGCACCACCCGTGTCTCCCGGAGCCCCCGAGAGGCGGGCAATGTGGGACTCAGGGCCTGCTGTGTGCAGGCGCTCCGCAAGGCGCTTTCGCAGGTGACGCGTGGTTCACCCTCCCAACAGCCTCGGAGGTCGGTGGTAGTGTTTTCACTCTGCAGGTCAGGGTCAGAAAGTCTCGCCTATTGGCTCACACTGAGCAGGAGGAGCACAGACTCAGACGCGTCTACTGGACGAAATGCCCGTGCTTTCCCTAGGCCCGGCGGCTGGCCTCAGATTACTTTCGTAGAGTCGGGTGCTGGGCGTAACGAATACGTATGGCCTTGAAGCTCCAGGCGCTTGGACATCGTGAAATTAGGAATGTGCACTGTTGCCGGGACTGGAGAGAAGTTTGGTTTAGGGAAATGGGTGTCTAAGACTTTAAAAAAAGCCCGTATTGAGGAGGGATCTGCTGTTGGTACCTAGGTCTTTTCTCTAACCTCAATCAGGTGGAAAATCCTAAAACGGTGTTCAGGACGTCCCTGTGTAACCCTGAAAATGAATGTGAACTCATACGTAAGCTTTAGGCTAAGAGGAAGAATCTATGCAAAAGGATAGACGGTCCAGTTCCTCCAAAGCCTAGAAAAATCCGAGGCCTCTGGTGGGAGAATTATCCCTTTGAGATGCAAGTGGCGAGTCCTCTGTGCAGGTCCACACCAGCACCGGCGCAGCACACTGACTCAAAAAGCCGGAGCCCCAAGTCAGCTGGCGTGGTTTCCTCGCCGTCTGGCAGAAGCAAATGCCGCAGAGCTGAAAAGGGCAGAACCAAAGGAAATGCCAGGGGGTCCAGACAGCCCTATTCATTTTCATGATATGCCCAGAGAACGCCTGGATTTTTGATCTAGGAGATATATATAGAGATCTCTCTCTCTCTTTTTTTCTCAAGAAAAATATTGATAAATTTTTCAGCAGAAGCTCACCAGCCATGCCCTGCAAAGAATTGGTTTTCTTCTTAGAGGCAGTTCTGGCGCCTCATTTCCATTTAGAAATTCTCTGACTTTTACTTTCTCTGCATTTTCTGTAAGCCAGCTGCCACCCAGGATTGGACTAAACCCCTGCCCCCTGTTAAAAAAGAGAAAAAGAAAAAACGCAAACAGCACAACACTCTAATAAGTATGTTCACAACTTCCACGCAAGGCGCTTAAAGAAACGGAAAGGTTAATGAATTCTAACTAGACGCTGGCACAGGATGTCAGGCCTGTCCGTCTCGCTGGCCGGCTGCGCGGGGAGCCACGGTCTCCTTCGCCGTCCGCTCCCCTGTTCGAGGCCCGGGGCCGGCAGCGGCCGCAGAGACCCGGGGGGCAACGGGCGACGCCAGGGGACCAGCACCACGGGCTTCCCACTCCGCCCCGGGGACCGCGCTGCGCACCAGCCGGCTCCGCCCCGCGGGCTGGTGTCACGGTGCTGGGGCTGGAGCCCCGTGGAGGGGGCCGGGAGCATGCGCGTGCACTCACACGCACTCGCGTAGTGCGCTCACAAATACACACACGCACCCACCCACACTCACGCAGTGCCCTCACACACACACGAACTCAGTGAGCTCACACACAGCCGCAGCCACACACTCACACAGTGCACTCACACACACGCACCCACAGCCACGCAGGGGCGCTCTGACAACGCACCCATGCAGTGAACTCACAAATACACACACGCACCCACCCACACCCACACCCACTCACAAGTGCACTCACACACGCACCCACACTCACGCAGTGTGCTCACACACACAATGCACCCACACATGCAGTGCGCTCACACACATGCACCCACAGTCATGCAGTGAGCTCACAGACACACCCACTCACAAACACACACACACCCACACTCACAGAGTACACTTGCAAATGCACGCACTCACACATGCACCCACACTCAGGCAGTGTGCTCACAATGACACACCCACTCACACACATATCCACACTCATGCAGTGCACTCACAGACACACACGCACTCACACACACCCACTCTCATGCAGTGCACTCACACACACTCACAAACACACACTCACACACCCACACTCATGCAGTGCACTCACAAATATGCACACACACACACAATCACACCTACAGTGCACTCATACACACATGCACAAACGCATGCATACACCCACTCATGCAGTGCACTCACAAACACACACGCCCACACACGCAGTGCATTCACACACGCCCACACACGCAGTGCACTCACAAACACATACCCACCACCCACAGTCACACTGTGCTCACACACACATGCACACACACTCAGAGTGCACTCACACACACACGCACTCACACACCCCATACTCACACAGTGCGCTTACAAATACACACCCACCCACCCACACTCACACAGGTGCTCACAAATACACACACCTACACTCGTGCAGTGCACTCACAAACACACACTCACAAACGCACATGCACTCACAAACACATGCACATACACACACTCATACAATGCACTCACAAATATACAGTGTACTCACAAATACACACATGTACTCACACAACCCACCCACACTCACACAGTGCACTTTCAAATACACACATGCACTCATACTCATACAATACACTCACAAATACACGACTCACAAATACTCACCCACACACAGTGCACTCACAAATATATATGCACTCACCCCCCTCCCCCCACCCCCACACACAATGCAATCACAAATACACTTGCACTCGCAAACATACACCCACACTCACACAACGCACTCACAAACACACCCACTCACCCACACTCACACAATGCACTCACAAATACACACACACTCACAAACACACATCAACATGCACAAATACCCACCCACACAATGGACTCACAAATACACACGCACTCACAAACACCCACCCACACACACACACTCACAAATATGCACTCACAAACACACCTACTCACCCACACTCACAGAATGCACTCACAAACACACACCAACACACACAAATACTCACCCACCCAGACGCACAATGCACTCACAAATACACACGCACGCACAAACACCCCCATCCCCACAAACACACCTCCATGCATACTCACAAATACACACGCACTTAAGCACACACACTCATGCACACTTGCACTCACACACGTGTGTGTGCACACCCACACAGCATCCGGATATCTTGTTAAAGTTGTGTGGAAGGTTGCTGGTGAATCTGGATACAGCCTCATGGGGTGTGTAAAGTGTGTCATTGCGTGTGATAACCTCCCAGGCAGCTGCGTGTACGTTGGCCTCATTTATCTAACTGAATGATCAGATATCCTTGGGATGCTTTTTGTGGGCATGGTTAAAAATGACAAGACAGGTGTGTTTCCACCATCCTAGAACATCACGGCTTCCAGAGTGTCATGGGTTTTAGGAACAGTCAACGGGCGCTGTTGCTTGGCTGATCCAATGAGCCAACCTCATGCATGTGGGCAGTGCCGAGGCCAGTTAGCCAGCAATTCAGTCCCAAAGGGGGCTGATGGCGGTGTCACCGTATGAGTGGGGAGACTGTAATAAGCGACGTCTTTGTTATTTGGGGCTGTCTTCTGTCTGTCTCAAGACTGATAATTTTTGCAGGAATTCAGAGGTGACGTAGACGGCCGATTGTGTGGTAGAGAATGGAGATTGCAAGAGAAGTCAGGAGGTCGTAATTAATTAATGTCATAAACATGCACTTAGTAACAGGTGCTTCCCACTGTGTTAGTGCTCAGGATACAGATAAGAAAGACCTGGACCCGCCCTCAAGGAGCAGGCCCTTGCACTCAGGGTGATGGGGCCACGGTGGGTCCTAGTCTGCGTCCTTCCACATTCTCGGCGGCTGACTCTGGATGGTCCCCTGCCCGCTGCAGGCCTCGTTTGGAGGGTGGAGATGGCGGTGACTGACTCTCATGGAGGGTTGTCAGAATCGAATGGACTAACATACCTGAAAGGACCACAGTCAGGTGCAGGAACTTGGCAGGTGCTCAATATATGTGGGTTTCTGTTACCCGAATACTCGGAACCTTGTGAATGTAGAGGGACCTTCCCTCAGGCTTCTTGTTTGTGGATACGCGCTGTGTCGCATCCAGAGGGGCTGCCTGGCTGTGGCTCCCTGTCAGCCAACCCCACAGCACCGTTTCTGCAGGCAAGGCCTGTGGAGGGCGCTCCACAGAGTCACGGATGGTCGGGCATGTAATGTATGCTTTCGGTCCACGGTGGATGAGAGACTGACTTTTCCAAAAATGACCTTTCTTTCTCTTCTCAGAGCAGAGATCACATAAATTCATTTAAAGTGAGAAGGAAGGAACGTGACAAAGCCTCTCATTTTGTAGATTAAGAAAATGAACCCCAACAGAGAGAATTTCCAGGAGTCACCCAGCAAGTTCGTGGCAGACAGGGCTCCACCCAGAGACCCCAAGGGCAGTGTCCACCGTGCCTCTGGCTTCACGGTGTGTGAAGAGCTGTGTCCTGAATTCTGTGCTCAGCTGGATTCAGAGGCACACGAGACGCTGCCATTGTGTCCTCTGCCGACTGTGTCACACACCTGGCAGGTGGGTCCCTGTGTGTCCCTCAAGTTCACAGACAGATATGGGGGCACAGTCCCGTCATGGGATCAGTGGGAAAGCCAAGGACCAGCATGTCATGTGGGTCCCTGGGCGTCCCTCAAGTTCACAGACAGATATGGGGGCACAGTCCCGTCATGGGATCAGTGGGAAAGCCAAGGACCAGCATGTCATGTGGGTCCCTGGGCGTCCCTCAAGTTCACAGACAGAAATAGGGGCACAGTCCCCTCATGGGATTAATGGGAGAGCCAAGGACCAGTCCCAGGTGGGTTCCGGAAACGTGTGAGATTTGGGTGCAAGACCTTTATTGGGTGACTGTTGGGATCAACCCCTGCAGGGCAGCGACAGGAGGACTAGGAAGAGGGAGGAATCCGACAAAGGCCCAGCTAATCCTACAGAAGACCCTGGAGCTGGGACGGCCCAGCAGAACTGTCCTAAATTGGATGCTGGGGCTGTGCTGGGAGAGGGCAGCAGGAGTGAGTTTGGCTGTGTGACTGGGATAAAAGGTTGTGATTAATAAATAAAGTCTGTTTGGTTATCAAGTATTATTTATTGACATGGAAATATGCTCACAAACTATTCTACCAAAAACCAAACCCACGCACAATGGTCTCAGTGTGGTCATTGTGCCTGTTTATATACATATTTTCAGAAAGACGGGGAAGGAATATGCCAGGAGATTCAGTAGTTGATTATCTCTGAGTTGAGGGGATAATGGTAAATAGTGTCATTTATCTATACTTTCTATTTCCAAAATTCTAAAACAATGTTTATGTAATTATGTATAAATAAGAAAATGTTGTAAGTGATATAGAACTATGTACCAAAATCTTAAAAATCTTCAAATTCTTTAATTCCATAATTTCACCTTGGTACACCACTGTAAATGTGGATCAGTCATTACATACACAGATATGTGCTCATTTTAGCATTATTTGAAATAGTGAAAAGATTAGAAAAAAATCTTCTGCATGGCACAACTCCTTCAAAGCGTGTTATGTGCCCATGAAAGGCAATGTTGTTCACAAATGGAAAATGCTTACATTATAATATTGTGAATTAGGCAGGATACAAAATTGAACATACAGAATGAGCACAGTTCAGTGACAACTCAACAATCTACTCATTAAAAGGCAGAAAGAAAACACAGTCAAGCGCTAACGGTTGTGTGTACAATTGGTGTGTTTATAAAGTTTTCTCCTTTTTCTGCTTCTCTGCAATTTCAAAGATTCCTTTAATGGAGAGATATTTCTGTAACAGACACAAACAGGTTTTTAAAAACCGTTGGAATCGGAAATCTGTGTCGACTGGTGATTGCTCTTCAAAGCTGCCCGTCCCTCCACAGTCCACCGCTGAACCTTCGTCTCTGTTGCCTCCTGTGGTTTGCTGCATGGTTCCCAGGTCAGTCGTGAGAAGCTGGACGAGAACACAAGAACACGAAGCTGGGAAGCAGGAGACTCGGGCCCTGGCCGGGGCCACAACACCAGCTCCCTGCACGCTGGAGGGTGAGTTCCTTTCCTCCGGGGGCCTCGGGTTCTTTGTCTAAAATGAGGAGAGTTTAGGTTAGATTGGGGGTTTCCGGGCATTGGGTTGAAAGAGAGCGGTCTCAGTGACTGTGTGCTGTCCGAAATCTGGATCCCGCCCTCCAACGCAATTCGACACACATGGTTATTTTATAGTTTCCTTCTTGAGTTTACTGGAAAATTCTGTGTGAAGAATGATTCCAACATTAATTAAAGTTTCAAAGCCACTGGACTGGACAGTTTAGATTGTCTACGTCTAGATCATTGACTGCTTCCAGAGTGTGGCTGCTGTCCCTCTCTTTTTTCATTTTTATTGTGGTAAAAACATGCAACGTGAAGTCCACATTCCCAGCAGTGCATTAAGTGTACAGCAGAGTGTGGTTAACTCTCTGCACATTGTTGCACAGCAGACCCCTAGGACTGCTTCATCTTGCACGACGGAATCTCTGTACCTATTGAACAGCAACTCCTCATTTTCCCTCTCCCGGCCCCTGGTGACCCCATTCTACCTTCCGCTTCTAAGAATTGGACTATTGTAGAGACCTCATGGGAGTGGAATCACTCAGTGCTTGTCCTTTGTGACTGGCTTATTTCTCTCAGCACAGTGTCCTCAAGGATCGTCCATGAAGCATATGGCAGAATTTCCTTCCTCTTTAAGGCCGCGTACTATTTCATTGTATGTGTCTAGCATATTTTCCTTATCTGCTCGTCTTTGCTGGATGTTTAGGCTGTTTCCACTTCTTGGCTATTATGAAAAATGCTGCAATGAACATGGAAGTGCAGATATCTCTTCAAGATCCTCATTTCAGTTCTTTTAGATAAATTCCCAGGAGTGGAGTTGCTGGATCATGGATAGTCCCAGTTTTAATTTTTTGAGGAAACTCTGTTCTGTTTTCTGTGGCAGCTGTGTCACTGTACATTCCTGCCAATGGGCACAAGGGCCTCGATTTCTCCACATCCTCATCAGTTGCTTTCTGTTTTTGTTTTTTTTTTTGCTTTTTTAAAAATAATGGTCATCCTAGTAAGTGTGAGGTGCTATCCCATTGTGGTTTTGATTGGCATTTCCCTGATGGTTAGTGATGTGGAGTGTCTTTTCACAGAGATGTTGGCCATTTGTGTGTCTTTGTCTATTCAAGTCCTTTGCCCATTTTTTAATCAGGTTACTTGTTTTTGTTATTGAGTTGTAGGATATATTTGCATATATTTTGGATATTATCCTCTTATAAGATACATGGCTTCAAATGTTTTTTCCCATCTCTAGGTTGCCTTTTAACTCTGTTGATTACTGCCTTTGCTGTGCAAGAAGCTTTTTAGTTTGATGTAGTCTCATTTGTCTCTTTTTGCTTTTGTTGCCTGTGTTTTGTTATCACATCTAAGAAATGTTATCAAGCTTTCCTCTTATGTTTTCTTTTAGGGGTTTTATAGTTTCAGGTCTTACATTTAAGTCTTTAATCCACGTTGAGTTATTTATTTATTTTGTTTGATGAGGATGATTGGCCCTGAGCTAACATCTGGCCAATCTTCCTCTATTTTGTATGTGGGACACTGACACAGCATGGCTTTGTGAGTGGTGCACAGGTCTGTGCCCGGGATCCAAACCTGTGAACCCTGGGCCACCGAGGTGGAGTGCATGAACTTAACCACTATGCCACCAGGCCAGCCCCCTAAAGATGTTTTTTATATGGTATCAGATAAGAGTCCAGCTTCATTCTTTTGCATGTAAATGTCCAGGTACCCCGCCTCTGTTTGTTGAAGAGGCTGTCCTTTCCCCGTTGTGGAGTTTTGGCACCTTTGTCAAAGGTCATATGATCACGTATGCATGGATTTCTCATTCCTGGGCTCTGTGTTCTGTTCCATTGGTCTACATTACATGTCCTTATGCCAGTGCCATGCTGTTTCAATTACTGTAGTAACACTGTGTAATATGTTTTGAGGTCATAAAGTGTGGAGCCTCCAGCTTTGTTCTGCTGTCTCAAGATTATTTTGGTTATTTGGGGCCCTTTGTGGTTTTATACGTATTTTAGGATTATTGTTTTTCTATTTTTGCAAAAAATGCCATTGGGATTTTGATAGGGCTTGCATTGAATCTGTAGATTGCTCTGGGTAATATGACTATTTTAACAATATTAAGTCTCCAAATTATGAGCTTGGGATCTCTTTCTATTTCTTTACGTCTTTTTAAATTTCTTTCAGCAATGTTTTGTAGTTCTCAGTGTGTAAGTTTTTCACCTCCATAGTTAGGTTTATTACTAAGTATTTCATTCTTACTGATCCTACTATAAATGGGATTGTTTTCTTAATTTCCTTTTCAGATTGTTCATTTTTAGTGTATAAAAACACAACTGATTTTCATATGTTGATTTTGTATCCTGAAACTTTGCTGAATTTATTAGCTTAACCATTTTTTTTTGCGTGTGTGTCTGGAATCTTCAGGATTTTCAACATATAAGATCATGTCATCTGCAAACATACAGTATTACTTCTTCCTTCCTGATTTGGATGCCTTTTATTTCGTTTTCTTGCCTAATCGCTCTGGCTAGGACTTCCACGACTATGTCAGATGGAAGTGGTAAGACTGGGTATCTTTGTCTTGTTCGTGATCTTAGAGGAAAAACTCTCAGTTTTTCACTGTTAAGTATGATGTTAGCTGCAGGTTTTTCATACATGGCCTTTATTATGCTGAGGTAATTTCCTTCTATTTCTAGTTTGTTGAGAGTTTTTATCATGAAAGCACATTGAATTTTGTCAATGCTTTTTCTTCACCCATTGAGATGATCATGTGATTTTTATCATTGCTGTCTTAATGTGTGATTTCCTATTGGTTTTTGTATGTTGGATCATCCTAGCATCCCAAGGATAAATCCCGCTTGGTCATGGTGTATAATCCTCCTAATACACTCTAAATTTGGTTTGCTACCATATTATTGAGGATTTTTGCATCTATATTCAACAGGGATGTGGGCCTGTAGTTTTCTTTTCTTGTAATATCTTTGTCTTTCATGTCAGGATAGCGCTGCCCTCATAAAATGAGCTTGGAAGTCTTCCCTCCTCTTCCATATTTTGGAAGCGTTTGAAGAAAATTGGAACTAATTTTTCTTTGAATGTTTGGTAGACTTCTCCAGTGAAGCCATGTGGTCCTGGACTTTTCTCCATTGGAAGATTTTGATTACTGATTTGACATTCCTACTAGTTATAGGTCTGTTCAGATTTTCTATTTCTTCATGATTCAGTCTTTGTAGGTTGTATGATTCTAGGAATTTACCCATTTCTGCTAGGTTGTCCAATTTGTTGACATATAATTGTTCATAGTAGTGTTTTGTGATCCTTTTTATTTCCATAGCATCAGTTGTAAGGCCTTCTTTTTCGTTTCTGATTTTACTTTAGTTCTTTTTTCTTAGTTTAGCTAAAGCTTTGTAAATTTTGTTGACTTTTTCAAAAACCCAACTCAGTTTTCTTGATTTTTTTCTGTTGTTTTTCTAATTTCTATTTCATTTATTTCTGCTTTAATTTTTACTATTTCCTTCCATCTCTTAACTTTGGGCTTAGTCTATTCTTCTTTTCTAGCTCATTGAGGTGTAAAGTTAGGTTATTTGAGATTTCTTCTTTTTTGCATATAGGCATTTAACATTATAAACTTCCCTCTTAATGCTGCTTCCCATAAGTTTTGACATGTTGTTTTCTCACTTTTGTTTGTCTCAAGATAATTTCTAATTTTGCTTTTGATTTCTTCTTTGACCCATTGGTTGTTCAAGAATGTGTTGGTTAATTTCCATATATTTGTGATTTTTTCCAGTTTTCCTTCTGCTATTGATTTTTAGTTACATTCCATGTGGTCAGAAACGATATGTATTATGGTTTTAATCTTCTTAAATTTCTTAAGACTTGTTTTGTGACCTACTATGTGATATATCTTCTGCGTGCACTTGAGAAGAATGTGTATTCCATTGTCATTGGTTGGAATGTTCTGTCTATGTCTGTCTACAAGTCCATTTGGCCTACAGCGTTGTTCAAGTCCTCCATTTCCTTTTTGATCTTTGTCTGGATGTTCTTTCTGTTATTTAAATTGGAATTTTGAAATCTCCATTTATTACTGTTCTGCTGTCTATTTCTTCCTCCATGTCTGTCAATGTTTGCTTCATGTATTTGAGTGCTCTGACGTTGGGTGCATATATGTTTAATAATTACATCTTCCTGGTGAGTTGACCTTTTTATCATTATATAATACCCTTCTTTGTCTCTTGTGACAGTTTTTAACTTAAAGTCTACTTTCTGGTATAACTATGGCCACACCTGCTTTCTTTTGGTTGCTGTTAGCATGGAATGTGTTTTTCTATTTGTTTACTTTCAGCCTACGTGTGTCTTTAAGTCTAAATTAATTCTCTTGTAGATAGCATATAGTTGGAGCCTGTTTTATTTTTTAAAATTCATTTAGCCACTCTGGTTTTTGATTGGGGAGTTTAATCCATTTACATGTAAAATAAATATTGATAAGGAAGAGCTTACTATTGTCATTTTGCTAAATTTTTTCTATCTATCTTGAGCTTTTTGTCCCTCTTTTCCTCTTTAGCTGTCTTCCTTTGTGTTTATTGATTTTATTGTAGAGACATGCTTTGATTCTTGTCTCATTTTCTTTTGCGTATCTTCTATAGATATTTTCTTTGTGGCCATCATGGGGCTTACGTAAAACATCTTGCAGTGATGACAATTTATTTTAAGTTGCTAACAACTTAACTTCAATCACATATGAAAACTCTATTCTTTTGCTCCCCCACACTTTGCATTATTGATGTCACAAATTACATCTTTTTATATTGTGTATCACAATATAAACACATTTTCATAGTTACAATTATTTTTATACTTTTGTCTTTTAACTCCTGTACCATAATTAAAAATGATTTACCGTCACCTTTATAGTAGTATGGTATTCTGTATTTTTATGCATATTTACCTTCACCAGAGAGCTTTATACTTTCCTATACCATCATGTTGTTGTCTAGAATCCTTTCTGAAGGACTCCTCTTAGCATTTCTTATAAGGCAGGTCTAGTGGGGATGAACTCCCTCAGCTTTTGTTTATCTGGGAAAGTCTTAATTTTTTCTTCTTTTTTGAATGAGAGTTTTCCTGAACATATTATTCTTGGTTGGCAGGTTTCCTCCCCGAGGACTTTGACTATATCATCCCACCGCTTTCTGGCCTGCAAAGTTTCTGCTTTGAAAGATGCTGATAGTCTTAAAGGGGCTCCCTTGTTCATGATGATTCACTTTTCTCTTGCTGCTGTCAAAATTATCTCTTTGTCAGGGCTGGCCTGGTGGTGCAGCAAAGTTTGTGCACTCCGCTTTGGAGGCCTGGGGTTCACCGGTTTGGATCCTGGGAGCGGACCTATATACCACTTGGCAAGCCATGCTGTGGCAGACATCCCACATATAAAATAGAGGAAGCTGGGCATGGATGTTAGGTCAGGGCCAGTCTTCTTCAGCAAAAAGAGGAGGGTTGGTGGAAGATGTTAGCTCAGGGCTAATCTCCCCCTCCCCCCACCAAAATTGACAATTTGATTATAATGCATCTCTGTGTGGATTTCTTTGGGTTCATCCTAGCTGAGATCAGTTGGACTTCTTGAACCTTGATGTCCACTTCCTTCTCTAGATTTGGAAAGTTTTTGCCATTATTTCTTCTAATAAATTTTCTTTCACTTTTTTCTTTTCCTCTTCTGGGACTTATATGCATATATGGGTCCACTTGAGGTTGTCCCACAAACCTCTTAAGCTTTATTCACT